AAGGGAAATATGATATTCAGTTTTGTGTTCATAAAATAGATTCTTACTATCAAGATGTGTTGGTGAAAACAATACAGATTAATTTTCATAATTAAGGTGAGTCGCGTGATTTTGTAATATTATGTGTATTAATTATAAGTCACATGAGCAGTGATTTAACACGGTGTGGAACTAAACAGAAGGACACTCGATAAACGCTCTATATGATTATCAGATAACTTGTTTTAATAATTTAAAATGAATATTTTTCAATGTATAGATATTGATTTTCTATCAGCTGTGTATTTGTCATTTTTGAAATGTCAATTTAAAGTTGTTAGTTGGTATCTTATACACACGGAAGTTTAGAGTGTGTACTTCAAACGAATTGATATGCCTTTATGGATTTCTTATATACCATATACAAGTTAAATCTTTCGTCAAAGTCATAAGTATTTATAAATTTCACCAAATCAAAGATGTTCCTCTATAAATTCATATATTACACTAAACGTTTCACGCCTGGATTGGAAAGCGATATTTTAAAATTCTTCCTACGTTTTGTGTATGTAGTGGATTTTAATTTTCAATTTGGATCTTGTTTGTAAAACCAAAATAAAGTTTAAATACCATAGATTTAAAAGAATTACTACACAAAGAAAAAAGATTTACTTATTCTCCTGACTTATGCAATAATTGTAAATTTCAGTGAAAACAAGTGTAGGGGTGTGTACGAATAAACAAGTCATAACTTAGAAAACCCCCAAAAAAAATCACAACTTTCATTATTGATTATTATTATCATTATAGAAGCTGATAATTTAGCAAAACACAATGATTGTTCTTTTCAAATAGTTTTTTTTTAACTGGAAAGAAAATGTCACACGTACTACAGATTGTGTCTTGCACCAAACATTCACGCCGTCTTGTGCATGGGCAATTGCAAGAATCACTCATAAAAATATCCCTGGGCTGGGAATGAGACCCAACTTATGTTTTTCCCCATTTCAATCTTGTACTTGCTAATTCTATTTTAATTACAATATTGTAAACTTAATTAAATATGTTAACGGAAAAATATAAGAATACACCTAATCCAAGGAACCTGAACATATGTAAGAATAATAGTCAGGCAACCCGAAAACTCTCTTTGTTTATATTCTATACGGGAACACACTGCTTTTTAATCCAAAGACTAATTATGCAACACTTTGTCTTGAAATGGATTTGTTTGTTCAGAAAATTATACAAAGTAAATTACGTAGGTTGTTATTTTCCTGTAAATATATTCACGTTCTGATACGTCCGGATTAGTAGGTTATTTCATTCAAATTGTAACGTTTTTATTTAAAAAACAATTAACAAAAGCACTTAATTAACCGTAAAAACGTTTAATTACTAATTAATTAAATTCCATTCATAATTAGTCATTTGATTCAACTTATCTATATCTAGAATTTATTTATTGGTATAATACTTCCTATTTAGTTGTTTAGAAGGTATAACATTTAAGTATACAAATGTATAAATGGGTCTGTCATTTTTGTTCGGGGTAGTTTTTACGACAAACAATTTCAGTAGACAGGAAAATTCGAATATCAGGTAAAAATTAGAAATATTGATGCGTCCTGTCAAAACTATGGTCCGTGTTGGGAGTTTGCAATTCTTTCTGAAAGTTAAAGAACCCGTGCAACAACTTTTTGAGGAATAGCTAGGTATGCGACATAGCAAAACGTCTGCCCTATTTAACGTGCTCAGCGTTCCAGTGGTAGGCCAAACTCTTCCTCCTAGGGCCAGTCGGTAAATTTTGCAGGACCTTCTTTAATTTACCCATCATCTAATCACCTCGCATTAAATATACACGAAGTATTCGCCACTGGGTGTTAAGCAAATAATAAAATAAGTCAGTTATACGTTACATTTATTGAGGAAAAAGTAAAGATACTTAGTTGACGACGACAGCTAATCCGTCTTTCTGTTTGACCTATGTCGTCTGATATTTGTAGTTTTTCCTCAGCTGTTGTTCATGATATGGTTATGCCTTTCAGACATTACACAATGATAAATTTTGAAAATACGCAAAGGTCACATAAAATCAATCTGAAATTTCGATAAAAAAACCAAACAAGTGAAGGGGTGTGTACGAATAAAAACAAGTCATAACCTAGGTTTCCAAAAAATTTGCGATATTTTTGATATTATCAATTAATCATTGCACAACCACAATCATGTCGATGTTGATGGTATATGTGTTTTTCTAAAATGGTTCGTTTTATATCAGATTTATTGATTATCGTATCTTATTTTATTTAAGCTAATAATATTTATTGAAATTAAACTTTTTTTCTACCAAATAACCTTATAGATTAGTGCCATACTCGATCAATCAAACTATCACGTGGTCTTTAAACTAATCGGTCTGTCCGTCCGTCAGTAAGTTAGCTTGTCAATTGATCAAAATTTCATTGAAAAAATCAGACACTTTTCGATGTAGACCAATGTTTCAATCCATTGTTTCAGTTCTAACGTTATCAGTTTAAATAAGTGCTAAAATATGCAAATACATGTAGCTTACTATGCGGTATGGGTCTTGTTCATTGTTGAAGACTGTGCGGTGACCTATAGTGTTTACTTCTATGTCATTTGGTATCTGGTGGAGAGTTGTCTCATTGGCAATTATACCCCATCTTATTTTTATAAATACAGTTCATAAAGTACTACGCATGTTGATTGACGCTGCTACAATGCACTAAGGTCAGAGCAAACTTCGTTTCGTTTCCTAATGTAGAAAATTAAGTATGCTTAAGATGGTCTTATCAGACTATATATACTCTATCAGATATTTTTGACACAACACTTGAAAATAAATTTGTCTATCGATTGTTTTATCTTGTCAAAGTAAATATTATATGTAGGGCCTATAAGTGCCTTTATCACGGAATATTGGCGTGTTGTCTCTTACCGTCTTTAATCATTTATTTTCCCGTTTGGACTGAGGCACGTTTATGTAATTAATGTCGGTGCATTTCTCTTTGCTGATTTATTTGTTAAAATTGTCACCGTAACATAAACTTGTTTATAAATTAAATGCAGAACTATTTATTTAAATTGAGACATTTAAAAGGTCTCTATGAACAACCACATTTTCATTAACACAGTTGACAATATCGGATTAATTGATATTTTCTGCCTAAATCTGTTGGAACAATATATCTTTTAAAAACAGTACAGCATTTATAGTGTAACGTAATTCTATAACCCTGTTGTATAAGCTGTGATAATTAATTCCGTTCATTCGTCCTTACTTTTTATAATATTTGTAGCACCTCCTCATCAGAGATTTGATTTGAATTTAATCATCAGAAAATCTTAAAGCATTTAATTGTATCATGTTGTATAGTTCACCTCATAATTTCTTCAATGATCTGACTGATTTCAGGGGTTTATTTAAGTCATTTTTTAAGTTATAGCATTGCCTCGATTTCGATGAATTTTCACAGGATCTTTTTTATACAGTGTATATAACGAGTGGAACACCCATCTGCTTTATTTTAGAAAATCAATTGATTTCAGACGATTTTGAGGTTTCCCATATCAAAACATGAACTTAATTTGCAACAACGATACACAATTGGGGTCTTTCTATAGTTTTAAATACAACGAAAATTAATTGATAAATGCAAGCTTGTCGTCCAGTGGCAAATAGTTCAGGTATATTTAGGAGGTTGTGAATTTGGATTGTCACTGATAATGAGTGTATTTTGGATAAATGCAGATTTTGATTTTCAACTGACCATGCACCAACACACTCCTTAAAGAATTGTTACACGTGTTCTTCATCATGCTAAGGGCGGGACGATTTCCATTAACAATTCAATGAATTCTCCGTTCCATTCGAATAAAAGAACTTGGCTGCGTATTTATACATCCTACACTGCAAAATTAATTAACCACCCGAGTGGAACTGAGAGCATTTTCTATACCACGGACCCGGGCTACTCTCGAAATAAGTTTCAAATTTGGTATTGAAATCATTTCACCCTACGCGTCGGATTAAATGACCGCGGAAGACGAAGTTTGAAAAAAACCTTAACGGCGTTCCATAATCACCAGAGTACATAACTTTTCTTTTTAATAATCCAATTATATTCGTTGATCAGATATGTTTCAAACACGTGTCGTGGTAAGTGTACTCTTCGCTTCCGGGTTAAGAAACTTAGCACTTTGGGTGAAATTATCTTATTTATGGATACCAATTTTAACAAGTTTTAATACCTCTAAATGTAACCAATGTCTGTTGATATGAGCTATGTTGACGAATTTCTTCCTGAATAAGACGACAAAATTGCTTTCAAATCGATTTGCTGTTTTAACCAATATTTATTTCAAAATAAATACCATAATTGCAAAATTATTTATGGAATATGATATTGAAGGTTTTATGAAATGAATAAAACGAAACTGATTTATGAAAAAAACACGTTAATTCTCAAGATACACCTGCTATATATAGACATGATTAAAATTGAAGACTTCTCTATTTTCGTTGATGTTGGTATAAGGGGATAATATCATCTTAGACTTGTCCGTATTTAATTGAGATAAGAAATATGTTTGCTACTAAAAATGCAGGTCAAAGTGTTGAAACAGGATGAGACAATACATTCTTGTTGCACCATTTTGACAAAGTGGACTTCAGTTTTATTTTCCATTTAATGTGAGGCAACCACTCATAAAATTGAACTAGTAATGTTTCAGTATGGCGATGAGTTGTTTGAATCCATTTCATGTCTGAAGGTTAAATATACTAAGGACAAAATTGCGCAATTATCCAATGAAGATTTAAAATAATTACAAAAATGTTGAGTAGTGAAGATCATATCTTCGGAGAAAATGTGCCTGTTGCTTAGCACATTGAAATTACTAAAAAGCAATTTAAAAGAATAAAAGATATAAAAACAAATGTGTTGACAAAATGGAGGCATGGTTTATTTTATAGGCCTCGGTGAAAATTGTTAATTAAACGGTTACGTTTTGTATTGAAGAAACATTCATTAGAATTTCGTGAAGAATTTGGAACATATACAATAAGCTCTATTAATCCAGCAAAATAAGATCATACATAAAGTTCTTGGGATTTTGGAAATTAACAATCGGTATCTTTGCGTACGAGGATAAATGACTTTAATAATTAAAAAATAACAGAACATGGAAGTCATATCTGGAGAATTTGTTGACACAACGGATAATGAATCAACTTTGTCCGATAAGAAAGTTCGGTGAGTTATAAATTATATATTAATTTAACTAAAAAGTATTATGAATAGAAAAAGATGTGAAATATTCGCTCACAAGACAGCAACCAAACGACACAAACAGCCTACAGACGTTTAGAGGTCACCATAATAATGTTTGGTTGTTAACGTTACTTGTATCACGTAAGCTACTGCTTTATCTCGTTCGAAACAAATAAAAAAAACTAGATGATAAATAAATAAAATTCAGCATTCTCACTATCGGAAATGGTTGCGTCCTGTTTTATAAAGAGTACATTAGTTTCTGCTGTAAATGTTTTAAGACTTTTTTTCACGTTTCTATTCAGCTGTTTCGTCGAATTTTGCTGTATTTTTTTTTTTTTTTTTTCTTCTTTTAAATTTGAGTGTTTATGAAGTGTTTATATAATTTTTATGGAGTAGCGATTATGTACATTAAATGTTTTATTATTGCTTTTTCTATATTTAGAATTACAGTTATGTTATCTTTAAATTTCGACAAAGTCCAATGTGAAATATTTAAGGGACAGGGTCGTTAAAGAAAAACAAACCATTTTAAGTTTTGCCTATCAATTCCATGGAATATCTGCAATGTATACCTTGGTCTATGAAATCTATATTTTGAAGAAGATAAGTTTAGAATTTTCTTTAAACGTATTTGGTCAACCTAAATCTTGTCAGTTTTACAAACAAATCAACAAAACCCAAATTCTATGCTTTGAGTAATATATACCACACACTGAAATTTATCATGAGATATTATGTGGCAAAATCAACATATGTCAAAAGTTCTCAATAAACAATATCCCTGATATGAAAACATTCATTCATATGAAGCCTTTCAACGTGATATATGACCAACTCATATTAGAAATTAATATTTCATATAAACAGCGAATAAATATTATTGAACAAGTAGTCATATGGCTATAAATCCACTTATGAATCAAATATCCCGGCGATTTTGGAGGGTTTTATTTGAATACAGAGGATTATGGACATAAATCCTATTTGCATGATCTCTTTAAAAAAAGCTGTAAAATACAAAGCGTGTTAGATTTAGGACTATACGCATTACAATCTATTGTAGGGGAATATTTTGACTTTCGTGATGTCATTGTTTATATTCTTGATAAGAGATGTTTTTATTGACTAACACTGACTTATATACATATGCCTGTTCAAAGTCAGGAACATTGTATTTTGCTATGACTTAATGCTTCTGTTTTTGTTTTGAGGGAATTTGGAATTAATGGCAGATTCCTGGTTAGTCTCTGATAAATCTATTCACATTTGTTCTATGAACAACTCTGTCTTTTGTTAAAGATCGTATCGGTTGACATCTCGTATCGGTTGACATCTAGATGTCTATATGTTTTTTTGTCGTTGGTTTGCTGTCTCATTGACGTTTATCCCACATCTTATTTCATTCATAATTTTACCAAGGCCAAAACGATTAATTTCCACTTCACCATAGAAACCGCATGTGGTCTCGTTGTAGCGTGTTTACCTTGAGAACAAGAGGTTAATGGTTCCATCTCTGGCCGGGTCAAATTTAAAGACGCGAAATTGGAGTTTGTTGTTCTCCGTTAAGAACATGGCATATAGCAGTAAGAACTAAAAACGGTCTACTCGGAGTCACAATAATGTGTCCGGGTAGGGTACGTGTAACATGTCTTCCTGTCGGCTATAATCTTGTAAACTGGCAAGTTAAAAATCTGTAACCTAGTTGGTCGGTTCACATTAAAGCAGGGTCCATATTAATGACACATTAACGTGTTCTCGTTCTGATACAATGTAATATTTGCCACTGCACATTGAAAAGTAATCCATCCATCATTGCATGTTTTCCCTTATGGACTTTAATTTTTTTGTCATCTCATTAAATTAAGTTATCATGCAATTTAATTGATATCGAAACTCATTACTTGCGCTTAATTCGCAATTCGAAGTCGAACAATAATTTCTCATCAGTGGTGCTTGAAACAAATTATAGCCAATCCGAAAGCACCAAAAGTTGAACTAGAAACAATACCAAAACATTCGCGAAATTCTTTCCAGTTTATTCCTTTACGCTTCATATGAAAAATAGAGAAACTTCTTTTCTCGCCAAAGATAATTTTGTTCAGTCCTGTATATGAAAAACAAGTATGCATTCAGACGATCTGTTACAGTATTTTTTTCACAATTTTGATGAGTTATAAATTCTCTAACGAATAAGGTTTCCTTCAAAATTTCATTTTTGAATTATAAATAATTTGAATTTTAACAGCTTACAGCCTAATAATGTAGTAAACGCTTTTTGGGTGTTTATCTCAATCTTGATTCTTTTTCTTTAAATCCTTCCAATCTCTAAGTGCTTGCGTGAGAAAGGTCTGTAAATCAAAACAAATCATAGAAAAATGTTCTCAAATCATTACTTATACATAACTATACCACTGTATCATGAAAGCACAGTTTTAAATTTCCGTTTGTATTATACAGAGAAATTAATTTTAATTTAGATAAGAGAGTGTTTATAAAGTACATTTTATTGATTAAACATAAATGTTTACAAAATGGGAATCCCTATCCTCTATTTATAGAGAGAGGGGAGCACTGGCTAATTTAAAGAATAAAATCTTGGGTGATGACTTTGAGAAAAAATGTATGCTTTTCCCCATAACTATCCGTATTTCTTGTGTAGAAAGTAAGTTCCCAACGACCTAATTATCCCAGTCACACGTTGCATAACTTCCTCTAGTTTTTGTGTGATTTCCTGCTAAGTACTCTTCAGATTCTCTCAAATCCAAATCTTCCATTCATGCGACCCCCCCCCCCCCCCTTTCATACTGTGTTCAACCATTCATATCATCACTTTTACATATCTTATATATAACTTTTTGTATTGTAAGCATGCATGTTTTATATGTTTTGTCTGTTACAAATTGTTGGCGCGAGAAGACTTTATACTTATGTCTCATACCTTTTTCATACTTAAGCAAATAAAATAAATTTAAACTTAACCCCCTTTTTTCATAAAATAAACGTGTGGTATATGAAAACCCCGCTGTATCACTTTCTCGTCCATTTAAAAAAATCAATTCAGTTTATCAATATAAATTAAAAGCAATTTGTAATTTTTGCAAGAACATTAAAATATGTAATTACAATAAAAATAAATTGGCAGTGATTAAGTGGTGTCTTTCTTCTAACAATACACATCATTAAAGGTACCTTGACATCACAATAGGACGGCCTCTCTTATCAATAATGTCACTAATTGCTAGAGCATAATACATCTAAAGTCCTCTTTGTATCTAAGGTCGAGATTCCTTATCGAAATCGATTATTCTTTTATATTAACGGAAATTGTATTGACTGGTTTCTAAGTTGATGTTTTCAATGAATGGATATAGGAAAGTTTTTTTCTGAAGTGGACTTAGGTTTACTAGCACTATAAAACTTTATGGTAAGATGGGTCTGTTTTTTCTTTTTTTTATTGGTTCGCTTCACGTTCTAGTGATTGCAATCATCAGTTTAACTGACCCTGAGGTGGCAGTGTATACAAACGTTCTTATTCCGTTGCTTATTTGCAGAGGCGGATTTAGGGAGGGGGCAGGGGACCTAGCCCTCCCCTTTATGGAGCTTCATATATATACTTTTTACAAGCATCCTTCCAAACGATTAATCAATCAAATGTCCATAGACTGTCTTTTGTTTCCTTTTGCATAGTCTGTCAGAGGTTGTTCAAAATTTAGTTGATTGAATGTTTTTAGAGATACATATGTTAATAATATGAATTGTACGAGGATAGTAGTTCTATATTCACTTCAATATAGTACTTCAATGGGATATGACTATCATACAGCGGTTTGTTGTTTTCCGAACGGATATTACAGTCCTGTAATAAACAGAGTTATGTAAATGTTGCACTTCCACTTATTTCTAAATTCAAACCGTTAATAATAAAATTTTCGGCTTTTTCTTTGGATGCAACCTGCGAAATGTGATGGTAATATGAGTCAAGCATCTGCTGTATTTGCATTTAAACACAGAGGCCATTTTTAAAGAAAGCGTATAGAATGGTTGAAATCGTGTCGTGTATATACATTAATAGTTAGTTATAAAAACTGGAGGGATAATAAATAAATACTAAAAGCATCAAATGAGACGTCCGAGTTAATGTTTAAATGGGTAAATATTGAATCAGAAAACAAATACTTTTCACCTCGAGACTTCTTCATCTCTTTTAACAAGCATTTAAATATTTATTGCGGGGTTTTGATGCGTATATGTTGTAAACGATTCGAGAAGCTTTAAAAGTCCTTTCAACATAACGAAAACGAAATGTAAATTTTATGTAAATTGTATTCACGAATAAGAAATGATGTACATATGTATTAGAAAAAAAACGTATTAAAGATTTTCTAGTGGAATGAACAGTTAAAGAGCTTTTTTGTAAACTAAGTCTCATCCGCCATAATTTTTTAGATGTTATTTTAAAAACCTGAAGCAAAATTTCACTAAATGTCGGATGATATTTATCAGATAAATCATTTCAAAATCGTAGATTATGGAAACGTGGGTTCGATTCACAATTGACAGACATTTTTTGAATGATTAAAATGGAACGGTTATATGGTTGACATTTATTGCTTGCAGAAGCTGTAACAGGAGAATTTTTTCGTAACATCGTTCATGAACTTGTTACTTTCATTCACTCTACCGAATGTTCCCATTTTCCAGTGACATTCCAAATCCCTTTTCAGCTTGCCTGTCATAAAAAGAAAAAAGGAGAAAATACAGATCTGATTTTAATCACACGCATTGAAAAATACTGCGGCTTCAATCAATATCTTGGATCAAATTTGAATTAATATGAAATCTAGAAAGATCAGTTTACATAGATTTCCTGAACAAACTATTCTATTAAAACCCATAATATACACATGGCTATCATTAATGGATATTGAATTTCCTAGTTATATAACTCGGTACTTTGAGTTCATTTAATGCAATAAATTCAAATGCCACTTTATAGTGTTGTTTTTTGAAGTACTGCAAAACAAAACCCACAATATATAATGGACAACTTAAAATCAAAGTACCTGTTTTTTTTTTAATTATTTACTGGGCCAATAGATGTTATGTATCATAGTCCCATGTATTAATAGCGATAATCACTGATGATCGATCGTGAATGCTAATAATCGAATATGTTTTCAAAAATCGAAATTTGATGTATTGAGATAAAATGTTAAGGAATTGAACTTATATCATTTTTATGCACAGTCACTTCATGGCTGGGGAATATAGTTCTAGTCATTCTGAAATAAAAAAAGTTATCTAGACATTTCTTCGTTTTGCATGTAAGGTGGTCTGAATATTTTTGGAACATTAGTGCATAATGATGACTCACAAGTTGAATTTGCGTTTAGTTCCAGTTGAATGATTTTTTTCTCTCGAAATAATGGCCCTTGGACAGAAAATTTCATGAAAATCCTGACTGGGCGTGTTCCCAAGTTACATTTAGTACGGCCTGTCATGCAAGTTGGCTATCTGTTATTTGCTAGAAAAACTCATAAAAGATACGAGGGTTATACGCTGTAATTTAGTACGTCATATACGTCTACATAAGACCCATCAGTGGCGTTCGATTCAAAACAGTTGTTAACCAAATCAATAAATATCCTTTACAATTATACCAATGCATTTTTTTACTGTTCAGAGCATACAAAACATTTGATTAAAAATGCATTTAACATACATTGTTTTCTGTGGTATTCAGACGATTTTTCATTATCATGGTTTCTTTACTTCTTTTGTCAAACGAGCGGTGATGAGATGACTTTGCAGAAAATGAAACTCTTCTCTATACAAATGATATCAAAATATTGATGTTGACTTCTATAATATAGTATCATATTTAATTTCCCTATTGACGATTTTTTTTTTTACAAATGGCATTTAAATTGAAAAATAATATACTCAAAATATATGCAGTGGTTGTCAAAACATTAGAATAGAAAATTCGTGTCATTGTACTTAATAAAAACACAGCCTTGCTGTAGTATAAAAATTCTCACGTCCAAAATTAATCAATTGGTGTGTTAAATTAATAATTCATCGTGTTCTTACAAATTATAGGTTGTTTAAATACACCATGTACAAAAGAGTAACTATATCTTGGCGATAAAGGGTCGAATTTGTAGTAAAATAGTATTGGTATATTGATTTAAAAACTTCTAAAAATGTTTTAAATAAGCTGATAAGAGTTTTACAGAAACAATGGAACAACCCTAAGTTATCTGACAAATCTTCATTTGGATAAAGTTGCTTCAGAGGTATATTGTTTCCGGACGCTTATATTAACAAGTTACGCGTGGCTATGGAATGCGATGAATTGATTATCATTTTGAATGGTCAAAGCGAATGACTTAATAAACCATATACCTGCTCGTGGTTTGGAAATTACGTCCTAAAAATTACAGTTTGATAACTATGATACATTTGCAAGAAAATATCTTAAATCCTTATACCCTGAAAGGTTGATACGATTCGCTTAAAGCACAGATTTCATTAGAAAAAAAACTAACCACGATATCTGAAATCTGGGTATCCGAAATCTGTCCTTTCTGGGTAGCACTGCAGCTTTTAATAATACGAATAATAATAATACACATGTAATGAATGATACACCATAAGAAACATTTGATCAAAATAAGGTTAGGAACATGCTATTTTTCTGATTTTATTTTTCTGATTTCTGAATGTTCTTAAAGCGTTACGGATAACGCTGAAACCTTATAAAATGACGTTCATCGTTTTAAGTTTAATTAGGGTTGTTTAGGAAACATTTTAAGTAAAGATAATAGTTCGAAACCAATTACTACAGTTTCTTTACGTAAAAGTTAAAGGTTGATTGAATATGAACCTTTGGTAAAAAATTTCAACGACACCCACAGGGCGAGACAGTTATCTTGTCTTTAAATATTAACCTGAATTTGAGGGTAGTATATGTAGTACCTATCTGAAATTGATTGCTGAAAATAGTAGAGGGCTTCTTACCCTTCTATGCCACCTGTGCCAGTAAATTGAGACGTATTCATTTTTTCTAAGCGAAGAATCCAAGTAAAAAAACTTTTACCTCTGTTTTACAGGTTTGTGTTACCAGACATCATGAAAGAGCAGACGTACGGCTGGTATCCCTCCGCCAAGGATGTCTATGTTGATAGGCGGATGGGTGTTCCAAACGAATACCGTGAGTATTTGCAGCTATTTCTTAAAATGGTTAACACCATAACAACGATTCTGTGGCTTTAAGTAGGACAAACAAAAATAATACTAATTTGTTTTTAACCAAATAGGGGCATCTTAAGCATTTTTAGATGGTTTCGATATCTATTATCGTTTGACCTTACTTATATATTATTACTATCTATTTTATTTGAACCAAACATTGCAGACATTTCTTGGTGAAAAAAATGTTGTTTTTTTGGCAAATCGTCTGAAGTTGATAAAGTTAATTTTATAAACATTGAAGAATATAATACTTCACTTTAGATTAAGATGAGCATTCTAGTTTTTATGTCAAATTGATCGAAGGGAGAGTGTCAGTTTTTCTCATCACATGTCGTCTCGTATCCATTGTTCAGATGTAGTTTTTTAAAACACGCTTTTCTCTGAAACCATTGGACCAATTTATACCATCTATATTTTATATGCATTATATGCATATAGGATGTTTGTTTTGACAGTACGGTAATCGTTTGTGCCACCGACAAATTTAAACTTAGCGCCCACCGCCACACGAACATAGCATGGATTAGGAGGTTAAAATAGACAAAGAAAATGACGTTATTCTAACCAAAAGCACCATTCCCTTTAGAAATCTGCCAAAAACCCGTCAGTGTGCGGCATTAATGCTTGGTGAGCGATGGGAGATATCATTGGAGACACTTGTTATGTAAAAATATCCTTTAGTTTTCGAAATGCGTAAATGGTATTACTTTCACTTGGTCGATAACTCTCACTGCTGGACTGTTAATCCCCGAGAATATCATCAGCCTAGTTACCAGTACTTTGGTACATTAAAATTCGAATGTATCCAGGGTTCGGCTAAACGTGTAGCCCTTTTCGGTTTTGATAGCGTCGTTAGGCTTTTGATTTTAGACATTTTGGCCTTGAGCATCACTAAAGAGAAATCAAATGTCCAAATGTACATATGGTGCAGTAAAATTAGTACCGTTAATGTTATAAGAAATGTTTGCTTATACCATATTGATTTACATATTTTCATGTTTATACAATTTTGTTTTTAGCACGGTCTCCTTCTATGTTGTCAGGTACTGCTTTAACAAATAACATGCTTTTTGTGTTGCTCTAATCATGTGACCACAGAGAGTGACCAATCAAAAGTGTGAGGATTTTAAACATGCAAGAAACACGACATTGTTATCACCATCCTGAATTGAAAACCAACTAACATTGCCAATATGTTTTATATTTTTCAAATGGAAATAGAAAATAATAACATGTAGATGTTGTAGAAGGAAAATGCATTTTTTAAATTCAGTTTCAACTTGTTTTAACAATTTGTTTTCAATAAAACAATAAATAATAACCGGGAAATATTTGACTAGTATTTAAAACAACATGGAAATTAACAGCATGATTATGTTTGGACCCATCTTTTATTATTCTTTTTGCACTTTTTAAATGTAAAGAATTTTTTTTGCTATTGTGTCGTGAATTGCTTGTTGCTTTACACATGATTTCTTTTGAATTTTGTCGATAGTTTATGATTTTCCAAATATTTGGCTTGGTGTTTTTGCTTTGCTTGTCATTGTCATAATTAAAATGTAGATGATTCCCCCTAAAGATGTATAATATAATTTTCTTTCATATAATATTTTAGAACTTGAAGCCATGTACAAGTATCAAAACAGTAAATATTATACAGCACCCAATCCACCTTCACCAAGGCCACCGAAAGGCTTCCGTCCATCACCAACTCCTAGCAAACGTCCAATGTCTAGTGTTTCGAGTCATCATTCTAGATCGGAGAGCAAACAGTCAGCCTCTTTGCAAATACGAGCCAAAAGTGCACCGATATATGACTTCAAACCCGTTCCTAAATTACAAATACCAACCCCATTTCAATGTTGGTCAACTAAAGTAGCTGAAACTTCTTACGGTGTGCCAATACCGACAGAGTTAGAGCCGAGGACCCCAACTCCATCGTCAGCGTTTCAACCAGAGAATGGTGTTACAATCATACCGACATCAGAATATCCGGAAATGTCAGAGAGGGAAAGCTTCGACACTAAAAGAGAAAGGGTGAAGAGTGCTGTAATTCCTAGACAGAAACCTACTCCTCCCCCACGACCAATAAAATCTGCTGGTTCAAACAGATACCAGACGCCAACAGAGGACATACGTCAGTTACGACCAAGGAATCCGACACCAAAGTCATGTGTACCTGACTACGCAGATACTGTATCCCGAGTGGCAACACCAGATCAATACGAAAGAGATCGAGAAAAATATGGCTGGAGAGCAGAAGTTCATGGCGATCCACTCAGGCTGAAGTGAGTAATATTTTCCATGAACAACTATTGAAAAGAATAAATACGATAATAAGAAACACATTTATTTACTAATGTATACCTGCTTTAGTATTTATGTAAGTTTCAATATTAATTTAAGATCTTTAGATGTAATCATAACATTGAATTAATGTCCAAAAGTTACTGACAAAGTTTAGTAATGTATATGATATGTTTGGTAAAAAAAGTGAAAGAAGTAGAAGAATGCATGTATTCGCCAAACATTACAAAACATTTGTTAAGCAAATTGAAGGCAACAAAAAGAGAAAGGCGGGACATACCAAGGGGACTGTTTGGTCGAATCTGCGATTGTTTGAAATAAAACAAAGAAACATAAATCAAGGAAACATTCTTCTTTAATTGCGTTTAGACTGGAAGTCCTTTAACTATAGAAGTTTTCAAAGGACATGTAAATTATGTGTTATGGTAATATTTCAAAGCTAGTTTAAATTTGGGAAAAAAAGTATTTGATCAGAACAGCATCAAATACTACAAGATGAGTAATGAAGAAAAATATTGGGCTCCATCATAGTTCAGTAACTAATGCTAATACATGTAAATCTTAAAAACGGTTTATGTACACCATATGCATAATATTAGGCATAAAATGAGGAGTTCAACGCTTGTCGACTTTTTGACGTGAAACACATTACAAAGTGTAAATCCCCGTATTGTATGGGATTTTTATTTTAGAAAAATAAGTAAAGTGTAAGTAGATATATTTATATATTTTAACTATTTAGCAATGGAATTAGACCAAGGTTTCTGGCAAATATGTGCCCTCTAGTGGTAAGAGAATAGATTAGATGGTTTATGGTGAAATGTGTTGATTTTTATTCATATGGTATAAAAACAATTATATATATATATATATAATTATGTTCTGCACTTAATTAAGGACAGTTAAACTATAGATGGCACATTGTATGCGTGGGAAGTTGTGTATTATTAATATTTCAATTTGTATGATTGATTTCATTATATTGAATCGCATCTGGGTCAATTATTGTCTTATGAATAAAACAGACAGCAAATTTGATATGTGATATATTCATAATGGAATATTCCCTGTTGATGTTTTGATACCTTACTTAGTGTGTTGGCTGTATTAGTGAAGTCGACCCCTTCATTTCTCAATGAATGCATGGTCAATGAGATGAAAAGCTGATGACCATTTATAGCCGGTGCCATTCCTACCACATGAAGCCAATTTTTGTGATATACATGAATCATATTGCTAATATACATTATTAAATTTAGTAAAATAATCCCAGAGAATATATCACAGTTTAATCTTATTATCACTAAATATTATCCGCACACGATCATCTGCTCCTTAATGTGTATAATTAGTATTATGGTATATTATTAAATGCTGAAAAGTAAACACTGGTATGTTTTTATGCTCTGTAGCTTAAAGTGCTATAGGGACAAATAAATGCTTCGTCTTTTAAAATTAATAATATCGCATATACTTTTCAGGAAAGTGATGAAGAGACTGCCATACTATGTACAATGTGAAGATCCCATCATACCACCAAATCCTCCTAAGGCTTATATGGAAAATATGGAGACTTTCTTCTATAATACCATACCACGTAGACCAATGGCATATACAATACACAAGGAATGGGTATCTGAAGTCATTCATGCTAAACGTATGGAACTTCAAAAAAGAGAAGGAATTAAACATAGATGGAAGAACTTCGCATTTGTATATTAGGGATATTAGGATATATTAATTAATATTAACGAATTGTAGCAATATATTTTCCATTTTCGAAGTTTCGACATTGACAAGATGTTATTGTACATGCATTTAGGCTTGGAAAAGTTTTGCTCCTTAGATAATGTTAATTTACTTTAGTGTAAATTCAGAGCTTCTTGGATATTTATGAACAGTTTTTTTCCGTTGAAAGCATAACGCCTTCTATTGAAGTGCAATTTTCAGTTCAGCACATTTTGATTCTTCCTGTTGAATTTTACCTCAAAGAACGACAACAAATTTCTTATTCAAATTGATAGTATACTTTTTTTCATATCATAGAATGAATTTCGATGTTTCCAATGCCCCCATGTTGAAAGTCTTTCCTTTTAGAAATCATAAGCTTTATAAAAAATTTACAATTTTAAAGATCTGCCTTTTGCCTGGAAATAAGTAAGACAAAAATTAACACTAACTTTTTTTTTACCGGAAATAGTGCTGTTCACAAACTGCCCAAAGGTTTTAAGATGTAAAATATATTATGTTTATCTAAATCAATATTTTGAAATATTCTGTGATATTTTTGTTTGTACAAATGTAAATAAGAGCTATTATTTTTAACTGTGTATATGCATTAAGTACTGTTATGTGATAGTAATGAATACAGTTTTAATGTGTTCCTATATAGTGAAATGAGTGTCAGATGGACATTGTGTCCATTATCCAGCACAAAGTACTAAATGATATAATGGTCAAAATAGATTACAGTTTGTGTATATATGTTATATGTTGTTGCATTTCAAATGATCATTTCTTTCTCGTAGATTTTTAAAAGGTGTCTAAAAGCTTAGATATAAAAAAAATTACATTTTAATTTTGATAGCTTTAGCAAAGTCATTGTTATAAATGAAGTTTACTCGCTGCAAAACTTTGATCCTCAATATTTTGAATATGTTTTTTACTTAATAATGAATTTTTACAATCTGCTTATTGTAATATTGTTAATTAAAAACATATTTTTTTTCTCATGAGTGTAAATGTCTATATTTGCATCATAAATACCTGGTTAAAAAAAAAACGGTTTTAAGTGTTTCAACATAAATAAAGAAAATATTATTTTTAGAATTTCGATTGTTTCTCTTATAGCAGAGAAAGTATCTACACTGCCAAAAACAATAGTTTGTTTCTAAGATTCACAAAAACGTAATTATGGACTATTGGTAGCATTATCTTCATTTATCTATCAACCACTTATGGATTTCTTGGAAAGAAATCTATAACTAAGTAAAAGGGGCATATCATGATTTCAAAATTTCCTTTTTTATGGACTATTTTCATTGTCAATCTTTTACAACATCCAATTTTTTTAAGTAATATTTTTATTTAGAGTTCAAAATTAACATGAACTATGATATAAAAAACAATATGAGACATGAAATCTTTTCATGAGTATTGATTCATACAGCAATTCTAACTCAATCAATAAATTTTTAAAGAAAGACAGCATCCATCTTAGAAATCAGAATACCATGAAACATTTGTATATGTTTATAATTGCAGCACATTCTCACGCTCTTCTACCTCCCTTTCATCTATACTCAAACATCTATTTTTTATTTTCTTCATAATCATGATATGCACGGGGATATGCATGTAAGGGAAATAACTCTATCTCAAATGAAGACATACTTTTTATGTATAAGTAAATGTACTAATCTAAATAAAAAAAATTAGAAAATATATTTCTGAATAACTAAATTTATCAAGATACAAAATATTTCCATAAGTAACACTGATACATAATTTAAATATTTAATTTTGACATCATGTGATACACATGATATGAAAGAAACAAACAATATGTATAAAGAATATAGTATAGATATAACTTTGTTTACTATGTTTACATTAATTTAAAATAAACCAAATGTTGATATTGCTTTTTACCAGTTTTTATATTTTGTTCGAGGTAAACTACATTCAAAACCATTTCCTTAGGTGTATGACTTAATTTAGATATCTAGTAACATCTTTGGATTAAAATAAACAGTGGTTGATGTTTTTATCTAAGATTTAATTTTTAATCAAGAAATTTGATGCTGAAGCCATACTCTGATGTACAAGCTAATTTTTCTTGTTTGTTTTATGAATATTTGTAATTGGTTGGTTGTAATTACTTCAATCGAAATTAATCATCACTGGTTTTTGCTGTTCTGTTATTGACTATTTGGTTTGGATCCTTCTTAGCAGTTATTGCCCACAGCTTACGTGATAAATTGGTTCTTTAAAAACAAGTCTAATGAACATCAGTACATTTATTCTTTCTATGTTTATTACAATGCATAGTTGGCGGACTGCTTGCATGGTAGCTACATGGTGTAGACAATTCATTATGTACAATAAATATTCAGAATGTTTGAAAGCAGATAAAGTAAAAAATAGGGCTAATGGGGAAAAAATTCACAAAAGTTTGTTATTTAGTTTTAATGTTTCTTAAAGTTTTATGTACTTTTGAGTTTCCAAAATTTCTCGAACACGATTATTGGAAGTTATACCAGTTACACGACTGTCATAGAAATTTGCATCATTATCATTATTTGGATTTTTTTTATCTATGTTTACAGATATTTTTCAGGTCACTTTGTAAAGAAAAATATTGCAAAACTACATATTCTGAAGGCACAAAAATTGCCTGAATCAGACCAAAAGTCAAATATTTTAATAAAAATGTGGATTCCTACCAAAATAGTGATGAACTAATATGCTTCGGAAGGATAATCAGTTCCTTTTAAACTAGTGTCTCATTTGCATTGCCAATAATATGGAGATAGTCTGTAAGAAGGCGACATACTATAAAGGATCGGAAGATGTCAATTGTCTAACCCCAAAACATAACCAAATTCATAAACCATTAGTGCATCTGCATTCTCTAACCCTAAATATAACAGATTTTAAAAATTTGGAATGAAAATGAAAAACCTATTCTGACCAAACGTCAGAGAAATAATTGAAATAATTATGACACATCAGGAGGCTATTCGGATTTTTGCCTTGACACCTTCCTTTTCAATAAAATCAAAGTAGAAAAATATCCTCAACAGATTTCATGATTATCTGTGCTACACAAGACAGTTAATTACAACAGACGTCATGATTATATGTCCTACACAAGACCACAAAAAGCATCAGTCATACAACATATTCAAACTACAACACAGAACATTAAAGTTAAACCGACACGAAACCCAGAAATAACCGCAAAAGGTTAAATTATGCGTCAAAGCATTTGCTGCTCCACAAATGTTATCCGTCGTGTTGGTAAGGTTGTCACATATCTAGAATTGTGTCTACGAATATACGAAAAAAAGTGAAATAACAAAAATACCGAACTCCAAGGAAAATTCAAAACGTAAAGTCCTTTATCAAATAACAAAATCAAAAGCTCAAACACACCAAACGAATGGAAAACAATTGTCTTCTTCGTGACTGGGTCAGGCATTTCTTTATGTAGAAAATGGTGGATTAAAACTGGTTTTATAGCTTGTTAAACCTCTCACCTGTATGAAAGTCACAAAGAATTCCATTAAATTGACAACAATGTGTGTGCAAAACAAACAGACATAATAGGTAAAAATGTCAAAAGTTGGGGTACAGCAGTCAATATTGTGTTATTATAAAAAAGACCAGACAGCTATGTGAACAAAGAAAAATAAAATGGCATATAGACACTCTATAGACAAAGCACCTAAGCAAAAATGAAAGAAAAGAATACATTGATGGTCATTTGTGACACAGATATTCCGCAATGGCCAACCATATTATTAGGGAATCTGTTAAACTTTTGAAGAGATGCCATCAACTTTAACATACAATGAAAAAACATGGAAGAGACCGTCAACAAACAATTTCCTGTAGGAAGTAGACCGTCAAAAAAGTTGATAAAGAAACACAAAGCTACATTCGAACATATTTAAGGTAAACTTACTTAATTCTAACCCTCAACACCCTCCCCGCATTGAGAAAATGTATCATATATAGTCTCTCATTTGTTCAAGCCTGGTATCTTTGATGAGTTGTAACAACAGGAGACGCCGATTGTGTCCTATTTAAGATTGCATCATTTTGACTAATTGTGGATTCACATGGGGAGGGGGGGACGCCGATTATGTCCTATTCAAGATTGCGACATTTTGACTAATTGTGGATTCACATGGTGGGTGATGTATGTATAGCAGGAGACGCCGTGTCCTATTCAGGATCGCGATATTTTGACTAATTAAGGATTCACATGGTGGATAATGTATGCATAACAGGAGATGCTTACCTTAACGATGTAATCGGTATCACACCTTTTGGAGTTCATAAGATTTCCTCAATTTTTGTTTGTTACTTGATTTGTCTCTTATTGATTTACAAGCTTTGAACATATGTAAACTACTGTTGCCTTTATTTATTTGTCTCTGTTATGGAGTACACATCAGACCTCTCCTACTTGCCTGTAATATATAGATAACACAATACATCTCATTTTCTTCCATCCTAGTTATTGTACATATTAGGTCAATGCTACTACTGGAGGATGATTCGTCACCGATAGAATCAAGAGCCTAGTAGTCAACACTTTCGTAAATATTAATGATGCAGTCAATTTCTGTTAATTGTTTGCTTACAAAATTTTGAATTATTCGAAACACTGGGGTTTTCTATCTCCATAGCCTTAGCTATATTTGACACAATTTTTCGGTATTTGTGATCTTCAATGCTAATTTACTTCTTATTTATTCAGTCATTTAACTGTTTTGATTCGAGTGCCACTGATGAGTCTAATGTAGACGAAACGCGCGTCTGGTGTTAAAAGATATAACCCTCGTATTAAGAGTCTTTTTTTTATATTGATTGAAAACAGAATTTGATAAATATTTATAAATACTAGCAATATAATTTGTCTGGACAAAAATGGAAAAAAAAACCAAATGAATAATCTATAATACACGAAACAATTTATTTATTAATGAAATGCTTTCTATAACTATACCACACCATATATCCACTATCGATACACAGATCATAAACTGCTGCCCACGATTGAAAAATCCGTTGTATTGCAATCGCATTTGGAAACGCAGACCAAAATCTGCTGTACACGATCGCAGATCCAATTTTGTTAAGCAAACGAGAAAAAATAGATTTGTCGTTCCGATATGTTCAGACCTATACGGGATCTTTTACCAACACCCATACCCCCACGCTGATTCAGGTTAAAAACTTTTGTAAATAAATCAGAATTAATAATACAGAGAGAGGTTAATTCTCCAGGTTGATAATCATTTTCTCATCTTTTTATGCTTATTAATACAAATTTGGCATGCGCAGAATCTGTATGATATTATATGTTTTAATATTATATTTTTTTGTTACATTAACTTGGTTTTATAAGAAATTTAAGAATCTTGAATCTAGGATGGGTTGAGCGCTTACGAACATTTTCAACCCCGCCACATTCTATATGTGCCTGTAGTTCAGTGGTTGTAGTTGGTTGGTATCTGTTATATTTGTTCTGACATACATTAGACCGATTGTATTTTCGTTAGAATAATTTCACGTTTTGTCACGGTGGGGACTTTTAGAGATGACTATTCAATATTGGTTTTAGTCACTGTTAAAGGTCGTCCGATAGTCCATAGTTGCACGTCTTTTGGAATCTGTTACATAGTTGTCTCATTGGCAATCATGCTACATCTCTTTATTTTATAAATACGAATGTCAGCCAAACACTTAGTATTCCCTATTTTATAATTTTTAGTCTAGGCCCATGTATATATCAGACAGAAACTAAGTTGGAACAGATATTATAAGAAAGGCGGAAGATACCAAAAGAATAATCGAATAAGTCAATAAAAAACCGACAATGCTATGGCAAAATACGAAAAACGACAAAAGGACAAACAGTCTACAAAACGTAACATAAAAAGCTAAAGACAAAGCAATACAAACCCTATCAACAAAGGTGATCTCAAGTACTCCGGAGGATAAACCTATCCTGCTCCAACTTTTGATAACTATTCTATCAGTATTTAATAACTAATTATGTAAATTAAAAAATGTTATTCAGAGATTCTGTTGTTATATTTAATTGCCAGAAATTTATGTCATTGTATATAATTGTTATATTCTGCACATCTGTTCCATGATAGGGGAAGGTTTGAGCCCTTACAAGCATGTTTAACCCAAACACGTGCTCGTGCCAAGTCAATAGCACGTAAATCAGTGGTTGTCGTTGGCTGATGTATCATATATATGTCATATATTTATTATTTTGTAATAAATCTGGTCGTTGTTTTTTCTCTTTTGTATTGTTTCCCATTTTTGAACCTTTGAAAGCGGACTTTATAGTATGTTTTTGTTTCATTGTTGATTCGTACATTTTGCCAAGTTCACGTCATTTTGCTTCTGTTGGACAGTGGTCTCATTGTCATTCATACTATATCTTTAAATTTCATTCTGGTTATCGTCGACGTCCTTTATTCTCTTGAAAAAATTATCATGTCTCCTATATTAAAACTTATTATAAAATAATTTCCTGATTTTGTTCTTCTATTTGAATTTTTTCCATTTCTATAATTTTTCAAAAAGGACATTTTGAACAACTGATAATTTTCATTTACTAAACAAGGTGATAATGCATAAAATTATAGAAATGAATACCTTTTTAGACAATTTAATGTGTTCTTCTGATTAGTCCTTAGATATTAACAAATCGACTCACCTCGAATCAATTCATATATTTTTTGAAGTATGACTTCTGGGTACTTAATATATTACAAAGTCAAAGTTCATGACTCATTTGTTTATGGTATTTAGGTACCATTCTCTCCGTTTAACGAAACGAAAGGGATTATGTTTTGCTGTTTAATATAATAAGATTTTTGTTCATAATTTTGTACAT